AGAGAGCTTGATCGCCGTCCCCTCCACCCCCACTCGCGGGGGCGAGGGTCCCGGATACCTGGCGAGGCAGGAAAGGAGCCTCTCCTGTTCACGCAGAGCACGGCACTTCCGATCGCACCGTTCTATGAAAGTGCTTTACAGACGGCAACTCCAGGAGGTTATACACCCGTTTTGCACACGAGGAAACCCAGGCACAGAGAGGCCAAGTTACTGTCCCAAGTGCGTGTTAGTAAGTGGCAACAGTCTAACATCAGGGTCTGGAATTATGTAAAGAGTGTGCCTCCTGAGAAGCCTCCAGATTGGAAAGGAGGAGGTCTTTTATTGTGGCGGAGGGTTGCCTCGACGGAAAGGAAAGCTGTTTTGAGATGGAAGAAACGGGTCATCCCCCAACTGATGGTCGGATGGGTCTCTTTTGAATGGGTGTGCCTTGAGAGAATTCTTAATTTGCGAGGATTCCTCCCTACATTGGCAAGTGTTTGATGGTCAGGAGGGTGCCCTGAGTGACAATCTGTTAAGACCTGGGAAGAAAACTTATTCTTAAAGGGGGTCTTGGTGAGCTGGCCGCCCTGAGTGAAAACAAGGGGGTAGAAATCATAGCCATAGCGTGCAGTCATGAGGGTGGCAAGCTCATTGTTGCAGGCTGTGGCCGCGGGCTTGTGTTGAGGTGGGAAGAGTCTGCCAGGCACACCGACTTGCCTCGTCGGACCCAGCTCGGGGGAATCCCTGGTGCGGCGCTTTCTGGGGCTGAGGGGCCTTCCCGGCCGGTCCCGTGAGCTGGGCGGCTGCGGGCGGCTTTGGCACGGTTGCAGCCTCCCGCTTGCCCGTGACTCACTCGCAAGGGGCGGGGGAGGGGGGCTTCCTGGAAGCCGTGACGAGGAGGCTCGACCCGGACGCCCGGGTTCCTCTCTCGTAACCAGGGCTTCTGTCGCCTGTAAACACAGCCTGGAGGACTACGGGGAAAAGGGAAAGGGGAGGTGCCTGGCACCCACCTCCCCGCTGGGCTCCAAATCCCAGTGCCGCTAGTAGGACGGAGGCGGCGGGAAAACGCGAGGTGGGGGATACCCTGGGGTCCCCGGAGTCTGGCTCGGCTCTGGCCGCGATCCTGGAGGAGTTTCGATTCCCTGGAGACAGGGAGCATTTCCCATCCCTGAGTCAGACGGACCCCCCCTCCGCTCCCCTATCTGCTGAGTCATCGGCCCCGAGAGCCAGGACGCTAGGGATTGGAAGACGCTCAAAGAGGCTGGAGAGGGGGCTTTGCGCGGGGAAGGGCCACCCATCCACCGAAACACGGACGGGTGGGAGCCAAGGGCTCGGGCCTCGGCCCCTCCTTTTTCAGATTTAGGGGTCCGGGTCTCCGAACCACCTCTTCGCTCAGATGCAGACCAGGCCCCCCAGGCCCTCCTACAACAGACCCACAAGTTCGGGCGCCTAGCCCTCCGTTCTCTCAAGCCTGAGTCTGAGCCCCCAGCCCCTCCTTCCTCCGATTTGGGAGTCTGGCTCCCATCCCCCTTTCCACCCCGTCCAGGCCCCAGTCGCCCCAGATGCCCCAGCCCGGGAGGAAGTTCAGGGCAGGCCTCCTCCCCGCTCCCCACGTAGCCAACGGGAAAACCCGTGGCCCCAGCGGCGGCCGGGAATCCCCTCTGGAATGACGGTGGGGAAGGGGATGGCCGGGGTCCCCCGCGGGGTGCAGGGGGGCAGGTCCTGGGCGGGCAGAGGGAGGAGGGAAGGGGCGGAAACCAGCGAGGCTAAAAATACGGCGAGCACTTCCGGCCTAGGGGGAGGGGAACGGAGAGCAGAGTTTCCAGAAAAACAAGCGGGGACGGGAAACGCGGGGGTGTGAGAGCCGGTGCGAGTGCGCGGGCGAGCAGGGGTGCGTGTACCCGCGGCACGTGTGCGCGCCTGGTGTGACTGGGCGTGAGCGGGGCGGCCGTGCGTGCAAGTCAGTGGCCGTCGCAGCGTGACGGTGTGTGCACTGCGGGCGCGAACGTGCGTGCCCTGATGTGCCCGGGGACGCAATTAGAAGTAGGTGTGGGACACGAGAGTGTGCGCCCCGTTTCCTGTGTGAGGGCTGTGTACTTACGGCCCCGCCTGCCACGGCTGTGTGTATAAAGGTGCGAAACCACCCGTGCCTTTGTGGTCGACGACGCTGTTGACTTTAACGGCCTCTGGCTCTAGGGAGTGTGTACTCCACTGCGGCCGTCCTCGAGGTGTATTCGCAAGAACGTGTGACCCACACACCCACCTGCACATCGAGGAGTGCACTTGAAAGCCGTGTGTGTGTGTGTGTGTGTGTGTGTGTGTGTGTGTGTAAAGCCACCTGTGTGTCACCGTAGGTGGCCGTGGCTGTGTGCCAGCTCCCTGTAGCTCTTTTGTGTAATGGATGGTGTTCCCAGGTGTCTGTGTCCTTTTTTGGGGGTGAGGCTGAGAACAGGGGAGGCTAGAATCTGGATGAGGTTCCTCTGAGGCCCAGTCACAAGGTAGTGGCACTGGTGAACTTTGGTTCCTGACGTCTGTATCGCACATCATGGGGAGGGTGGCTGGTCACTGTTTGCCACATCCGGGGGCACAGCAGACACACACACACACACACACACACACACACAAAAACCTTCTCTACCTGAGAAGCATGATCTATCCCCAGCTAAGGCTGCTTTTGATAATACTGAGCTGAGTGTAGGGCTGACTCAGCCTGTGATGGGCAAAGTCTGCGATGGGGTGAAAGATAGTGGGTTAAGTGGTGATTAGAGAGTTGTTTATATATTCATGTGGTTGGATTGTTCCTTTAGAGTGTGTTTGTGGGACTGTCACTGGGTCGGAGAGCCTGGGGACACTATGATTGTAGGATGGTGGGTTATGCTGTTCTCTGCTCTGGAGGAGGGGTGTCATGTGCGCCCGTGTCCCCATGGTCTGCTTTGCTCTATGTGGCTGTGCATCTCACGTACACCCTTCCCTGGAGTTGTGGTTGTGCACCAGCCTCTATGATCTCCCTTTGGGTCTAATAATCTGGTAAAAATCTCCATGAAGGTCCTTCATGACTTGCCTCAACTTCTGTCCGTGCCCTGTGGTCAAGGCCTCCACATTGTTCCATAAACACATCAGCACATTCCTGCCTCATGGCCTTTGCACTTGCCGTTCTTCTCCCGGTGCTGCTCTCTCTCCAAATGCCCACATGCCTATTCCCTCTCCTTCAAGTCCGCTCCAATACCACCTTCTCAGTGAGGCCTTCGTGAGCTCTGTCAAGGACTTTTTAAGTAAGTCTTATCATCTATTTAACAAATAATACATATAACATCTATTTATAGGCTATAATAATAATGAGTACCCATTACCCACCACCCAATCTAAGCTCTAATGTCTTACTAATGTCTTTTAGTAAAGTAACATAATTCTCCATATGCAAATCTTGCATTTGTGTTAGATTTATTCCTGTAGATAGCATCATCAACTAGTGCCCAAGGCCTCCACTGCCCTTCCTGAGGGTCAGCCCGACATGCCAGGCACTTCAAGAAAGGAACTTTCTAGGATGTGTTCACACACACACACACACACACACACACACACAGGGCTGGCCATTTCCCAGGACTCTAGTGTGGGGACTTGGGCTCTGGGTGAATCACAGGTCTTCACAGTCCCAGGGTTTCCTTGCAGATGTGGGGTCTAGGACACATCTGGGCAGTGACACAAGAACCAGGGCACAGAAGGTGTTGGGTGGGGCAGTCCCACAACCCGGCTGACTCACTTGAGCCTTTCACACCCCAACAGCTGAGCTTGGGCTTGCCCAGGCCTGAAAGCCATGGCTGAGCTCTCGAAGCTCTCGTTCTTGGGGAAGTGGAGAGCCTGGTGGGCTCCTTCCTCTCTGAAGCCCCCTCCCCAAGGCCTGCTTCCCGGAGCTGGGGCCCAGGCGCCTGGGTTCTTCCCCAGGACTGATGATTCACCCCTACTAGGCCCTTTTCACTTCTCCTTTGGGGCTAAAAATACAGGGACCCAGGCATCCAGCTGGACCAGGCTTCACCACGGATTGCACAATGCCCCTAGTTTGAGTGCTGCTGACGCAGGCTCCAGGTTCGGGTGGGGGAGTGAGTTGCTCCCAGACCAGGCATGCTGAGGTCAGGGCCTAGAACCCTTTCACTTCCCCTTTCCTTGGCTGAGGACCCTGGGGGCTGGGTTGACATTGGAAGTGTTGGGGATCCCTGGACTTGGTTGTGGCCCCTGGAAATGAAACTGCTTCCCCTAGCCCCAGTTAACCTAGGGCTCCCAGAATCTGGCCTCCTTCATAATAGACAGAGTCCCAGTTAGGAATTGGGGGCAGAAGACAGCAAAAGGGGGCTAGGATAGAGATGGTCAGAGACAGGGAGACAGGAACACAGAAGCGCAGAGAGAGAGAGAAAGAGAGAGAGAAAATGGCCAAAAGAGAGAGAGAGAGAGAAAGTGAAAAAAAGAGAGAGAGAGAACAGACACATGCCTTAGAAGCATACAGGACAGCTAGAAAAGAACAAAATCAGAGAGACCACCCCCAAACTGGGACAGAAGCAGGAAGGATTGAAGGAGAGGGAGAGGTCAGGGATCCTCGCCCAGGCCAGGCTGGGGGAGAGCCCCTGGAAGAGGTCATCAACAAGCAGTCCAAAGTGCATCCTGGGCTAGGGAGGACAGCAGGCCCCTGGGCGAGCAAGGCCCCGCCCTGCAAACTCCCTGCTAGCCTCTGCTGCCCCCTGCTGGCTGTGGCCACAGTGCTCCGGCGGGAAGAAAAGTCAAAGACAAGGCGGCTTTGAAGTCACTCTTCATTCCCTCCTGGTCCCCTTCCCCTTCGGCCTGCCCCACTCCCAGCCCTGCCAGCTCACAGGGTGCCCCCAGGGCCTGTAGGTGGTGCAGGTGTCTTGCCCGTGACCTTGTTGGCACAGTCCAGCAGAGCGGTGTGAATGTCCTTGGCACAGGCAATCTGGGCTTTGATGACTGCCAGGTACTGCGGGTAGGGCAGGCTGTCAGGCTGCACAGCGTCCGGTTTGGTGGCTGTGGGCACCAGCGTTGGAGAGTGCTTGGCGCTGTCGCAACTCTGGGACAGGCACTCGTGTGCCAGGCGCTGTGGGCAGGTGGGCAAGGTATGGCATCAGTGTCGCTCGCCCCACCTACTCCCAACCCCACCCCAAGGGCCAGCCTGGGGTAGCTTGCTCAGCCTCTGGACTCCCAGGGTCTTGGGGTCAGAGCCTGGCCTCCCTGCCAATCACTTGCTGGGTGACTTCCGGTGTGTAGCCTGCTCCTCTCGGAGCCTGTTTCCTTCGCTACCTCATCAGGCAAGGACGAGAACGCGTGTGAACAGAGAACACGAGAACAGTGTGAGAGCCACGGGCACTAGCACGTCACCTTAAGTGCTAACTGATGAATGTTGGCCAGCTATTACTGTGACTGTCCTAACTGCAGCCTTTGGCACTGGCAGTGACTTCTCCGATGACACCTGCTCCTGGGTTTCCTCCTTCTTCTCTGGCTGCTCTCTCTAGACACTTCTTAGTCTACACAAGCCTTAAATGGGGGTAATTCCCAGGTCCCGTCTCCTCTCCCACCCTCAGGCACCACTCAGTTCCCACCTCTGCGCTGACACCACATCTGTGTCCCCGGCCTCCCCTGGAATTCCAGAGCTCTCATACCCTCCCCACCAAAACGTTTCTCTTCCTGGGTCCCTGTCTCAGGAGCCTGTCTTGGTGCGGCCTAGCCCCCTTGAGTGCTGCCATGGTTGCCTCCTGGGGCTCCCAGCCTCCACTCTTGGCTCCTCAAACCCATCCTTCGTTGGGCAGCCAGAGGCATATTCCTAAAGAAGCCAGCAAGCAGGTCCACGGTCTTCTCTGCTTAAAACCCTCCGTGGCTCCCCAGCGCCCACAGGGCTATATTCAAAACCCAACAAGCCCTAATGCCTCCTACACCTCAGTAGCAAAACTGAGTTTCATGACATTCCTAAAGGAGAGTTCAAGCAACAGCCTGTTCCTTCTGGCTGGAACACCTTTCTACCACCACCAGGCTTCTCAAATTCTGGTTTTTCTTTCAAAACCTAGTTCAAAATGATGATGACGACACTACAGGAAACATTTGCCACGTGCTTAGTACCATGTTCAGCTTTTTACATATGTGATCTTGCTGTCTTTCCCCAAAGTTAATTTCTCAAAGGAGAAACCCAAGGCTCACAGGTGGCAATTGGTGGTCCATCTGATTCCAGAGGCTGTGCTCTTAGCCACCCACTCTCCCCAAAACTCCTATGCCTCTTTCATTTATGTCTCAGCCTCAGCTCAGATGTGCTTTCCACCAGTAGCCCTCTCTGAGCCCCCTCTCCTTACCCTACCTTAGGCAGAGTCAGGTTCCTTCTCTGGCCTTCTACACTCCCCTGAGCTTCCATCGCTTTACTTTTTTGTTTTTTCTCTCATTTTAATCCTGACACCTCCCCTATCATATCAGGCTATGTGCCTCCCCCATCATAGCCCTGACTTGTGTGGGCTGGGCTTTTCCTATCACAGACCTGACCACCCTGAGCTGTCATTGTTTGAGGACATATGTCACCCCAGTGAACTGGAGGCTTTGTGAAGGCAAGGATCAGGACAACACTGTGTCCCCAGCATCAGCTGATGCACACATCTGGCCCACAGGAGGTGCTCAGTGTGTGTGTGTTGACTGACTGAATGAGGGTTCCTGACGACCTGGGGACTGAGGCAGGATTGTGGTGCCCCAGTGTCTAGAAGGCCCCTTACCAGGCAGAGCTCCAGCTGGTCACAGAGTGCGTAGAACTCCTCCAGACACTTGTCAAAGCGCTGTATAGGTCCGTCACTGCTCTTTCTGTAGTCCAGGAGAAGAAGGTGACTGGAGAATGGATTTCCAATCTCTGGGATGTCAGTGTCTACCCAACCAAGTATCCATCAGGAAACCAGTTTAGGCCCAGAAGCCCCAAGGCAGGGCCTAAGGGACTGTTTTAGAAGAAGCAAAAAGAGCAAGGCCAGACGCTAAGGAGTGGGGCTTGAAAATAGAAGGAAGGTGGGGGGAGGTGGATGGGAATCCGGGTATGAGTTTCTAAGACTAGGAAAAGGGGACTGTACTCACTGTCCGTTGTCAATGTTAGTGTTCTGAATCAAGTTCTGGGCTGCGACTTTCATCAAGGTCTAGCTTATAAAAAAATAAAAATGCACGAAATGGAGAAACAGAGGGGGATGCTTTTGGTAGATCTACAGTCTTCCTTAAGATCTATTCAATTTCAAGCCTTCTCTTCATTTGGCACGTCTCCTCCTGTCAATCCAGAATAGCACCTGTATTTTCCCAGAAGCCCGCTCTCATCCAGGGTTCTCGCCAGTAATTTCCCCGACAGATCTTAGATCCTCCCTCACCCACCAATCACGGGCAGAATCTCTGTACAGGCTGGTCCCTTCCTCAGGCTTTAACAACCAGAGCCTTTTTGCCCCTTCAAACTCCCTCCCACTCGAGTTCCGGCCATTTCCAGGCCTAACATTCGCGCTTATCCCGCTCACACTGTAAATCAGCAGAGCTTCGCTTTGGCCTCATCAAAAGGGCCAACTCATATTCCCGTTCCCTGCCTAACGCTCCTTTGCTCTCTCCCACACTACAGAGTCCCTCTGCCCTCCCCTGTCCCCCTTGGAGTCAGAGAACCAAACCCCGCAACCTTCACGCCGTTCCTAGCCAATCACCTGCAGGCTCTCCTTCAACTGCGGGATGAGCATCTTATAACGCTGCACTGGATCGAAGTCCTGTTGCTGTTGCTGCAAAAGCCCGCTCTGGGCAGGCCCCACTAGCTGTGCTGGTGGTTGCGGCTGCTGCTGGGGACCCGGGCCACCAGACGAACCCGGACCCGACACACCTGCAGCGGACGAAGCCGCAGCAGCCTGCTGCTGGGACGCAGCCATCTTCCTCGCTTAGCGCGCCGGAAATACGCCACAGGCGTGTCTCCCCCGGTTTCTTTCTAGCTTCTGTGTTTCCAGGCCCTGTTTGCGCGTTAGCTCCTCCTCCCAAGCAAGTCAGCCAATGGGGGGAAGAATGACTATCCGCACTTGACGCTCAAATAAAACGTCATACGGAGATACCGATTCACCAATCACAAGAGGTTTTTCCTCCTTCGCTCCGCCCTTTACCCAGCTATTTACCAATCCGGGTGTGGGTCTAATACGGACTCTATTTCCCAGAAGGCCTCGCAGCTTGAGGCTACTTGTCGGGTCCTCAGCGTCTTGGCGGCAGTTGGTGGAGACGGAGCTGCGAGTCCGTCTTTGGCGCTGCCTGCGCGTTTACCTGAGTCTCTACAGGAGCTCTTCTCACCAGCCCACATCATTCCGACCCTGCTTCCTCAGAGAGCGGCGCCAACCCGAGCCTTCCCTCGGATTAGGCGTCCGCCGACGTCGGTACACCCTTCCGCCTCTCCCCGCGGCTCAGCAAGGACCCCGTCCGGGCTTCCTTCGCCTTGTCGCCATGGCGCCCACCATCCAGACCCAGGCCCAGCGGGAGGATGGCCACAGGTAGGCGCCACGCCACCTGGCTGCACCGCTTTCCTCTGGGTCTATTCAGGTTTCGGCGAGGCGGGGGGTCGGGCTCGGGTATCCTCCTACAACGTCAACAGCCCCCTAGGTCTGCCCGTGATGTCATACCCCTGCCGCGAACGCCGTGACGTCACCGAGCGCTCACCTTTGACATAGGGGGGTAGGTTCCTTCAGGGGTGGGGTGCTGCTCCCTTCTCCCTGCCATGGAGTTCAGGGATTAGACTCTTGGGAGGCTAAGTAGAAGGGATTGTGCTTTTAAGATTCCAGTCAAGCGTTTGGAGACCCCCTTTTCCAAAATCAATTGAGTACGTAGTTGTATTAAAGCACTTGAAGACATCCCCTCCAAAAGGGATGTCTTCATTCATGGAAGCATCTGCAGACACTTGTTTTTAAAAGGAGTTAAAATACTAGACTCCCTCCATTAAAGTACTTGGAGCACCCCTCCCAAAAGGGATTAGCATTTGTCACCCCCTTCTCCCCTCTTTTAAAAGCTTGGAGCCCCCCCCCCTTCTGTAAATCCTGTTCATCTTTCTGTCAATGTCTTTCTCTCTTACCTACCAGGCCCAATTCTCACCGGACTCTGCCTGAGAGGTGAGCCCCATTGTGTTTTCTCAGAGGGATGGGCCCGTGGGGGCTGGGAGCAGAGGTGGGGCAGCAGGGGCTAGGTTTTAAGCTACTGTATTCCCAGGTCTGGAGTCGTCTGCCGAGTCAAGTACTGCAATAGCCTCCCTGACATCCCCTTCGACCCCAAGTTCATCACCTACCCCTTTGACCAGAACAGGTGAGACTGACATGGAGGATGGTGAAACAACCCACTTTGAACAGGAGTTCCTTGAGAGAGAGAATTGCTTCTCTTTTTGGCCGCTTTTTTCAGAGCCTAGAACACTATCTGGCATATGGTAGTAGGTGCTCTATAAATATTTAATGAACGAAACCATCGGTGTCTAAGTCTTTACCCATTGAAGAGCCAGCCTTCTCACTCTGAAAAGGGGGGGAGGGGGGACACTGCGTTTTGAGTTCTTCCCTGGAGAAGCTTGGGCTCTGGAAAACAGGGATACGAAGGGTAAAGCTGGAATCAGGAAACCATAATAGGTATGTTTCCCCACCCAGGTTCGTCCAGTACAAAGCAACTTCCTTGGAAAAACAGCACAAACACGACCTCTTGACTGAGCCAGACCTGGGGGTCACCATTGACCTTATCAACCCTGACACCTACCGCATTGACCCAAATGGTGTGTGAGAAGGCAGGGAGGGCTTGCACTAGGCCAGCAAAGGCTAGGACCTCCCTCATAGTCTTCCTGGCCCCTTGTTCTCCTCTAGTACTCCTAGATCCAGCTGATGAGAAGCTTTTGGAAGAGGAGATTCAAGCTCCCACAAGCTCCAAGAGGTGAGTGTGTGTGTGGAGGGGGGACTGGAGATGCGGGGGATCTATGATGGGAGGAGGGTGATGGGTCCTTGGTGCCTAATACTCCACCCCAGATCCCAGCAGCATGCGAAGGTGGTGCCGTGGATGCGGAAGACAGAGTACATCTCCACTGAGTTCAATCGTTATGGCATCTCCAATGAGAAGCCTGAGGTCAAGTAAGTTGTGGTGGGTAGGAAGGGAAAAGTGGAGATTTCAGGTGTGTTCAGTGACTCCTAAAAGCCTCTCTTTACTCCTAGGATTGGGGTTTCTGTGAAGCAACAGTTCACTGAAGAAGAAATATACAAAGACAGAGATAGCCAGATCACAGCCATTGAGAAGACTTTTGAGGACGCCCAGAAATCAGTTAACTGAGGGACCGGGATGGGATGGGGGTGGGAGGCAGACCAAGGTGCAGCTCCAGAGCTCCGCATCCTCCTCCTCACCCTGTTTTTGACCCCACCAGATCTCCCAGCATTACAGCAAGCCCCGAGTGACACCGGTGGAGGTCATGCCTGTCTTCCCAGATTTTAAGGTCAGATCCAGGGCAGGAGGCAGAGAGAGGTAGCCTGCCATCTCTGCTCGTCCCAGTCTAATCCCAGTGCTCTCCGTCCCCCAGATGTGGATCAACCCATGCGCTCAGGTAATTTTTGACTCAGACCCAGCCCCCAAGGACACAAGTGGTGCAGCTGCGTTGGAGATGATGTCTCAGGCCATGATCAGGTAAGTAAGTGGCCCCACTGCCCACCTTGACCTGCTTCTCATTGCCCCTTTGTCCTCACTCTTCACTGCTCTTCTCCCAACCAGAGGCATGATGGATGAGGAAGGGAACCAGTTTGTGGCCTATTTCCTGCCTGTGGAAGAGACACTGAAGAAGCGAAAGCGGGACCAGGAGGAGGAGATGGACTATGCACCAGATGATGTGTGCGTGGGGTGTGGGGTTTTGGGGACTGAAATTGGGTTTTCTTTTCTCCTTCATAAGGAAGAAATGGAGCTGACCTTGTTCCCCTCACCAGGTATGACTACAAGATTGCTCGGGAGTACAACTGGAATGTGAAGAACAAAGCTAGCAAGGGCTACGAAGAAAACTACTTCTTCATCTTCCGGGAGGGTGATGGGGTTTACTACAATGAGTTGGAGACCAGGTACTTGGCACACTCCTCCCTCGGATTAGCCTGGGCCTGTGCTTTCGAATCAAGGTCCTGGGGTATGTGGGAACTACCTTGGAGGTCATTTGTACGTAAGGATGGGTCGTGTGCATTTTCAGTAAGAGCAGCAGAAGCCTGCTCAAGCATGTGACCTGGGCCTGGTTTTAACATGAGAGCCCAGAAAGAAATCTCAAGATTGAGCTTTTTTGTAGGGTAGATAGCCAAGTTTCTTCTGATGTCAATAAGAGACTTCACGTGAAAGTAAACATAGGCAAAATACAGAGTAATATGTAAAATTAGCATAAATAGTTTAAATGAAATCCTAGATACCCAAATTAAAAATGTGACCTCCTGCCCAACTCCCCCGAGAGCTAAGTTTATTCCTGTGCTAGAGCCCTTGGTATAATTTGAGGGTTGGGAAAGGAAGTGTGATCCTGGGTTTGTTGAAAGCAGAGGTCACAAATTCTGATCCTATGTAAAAGGTGGCACAGTGGGCTGGGTGGGCTCTGGGTGACCTGGAGCTCTTGGCAACCTCCAAGAGGCACCATGACCTAGCCCGGCAAAGGGCTCCAACCTATTGTTACTATGCTATGGGGGTTGGGGGAGGGGAAGTCCCAGTCGGGCCATAGATTAACATTTTCCAGAAGCCAGCAATCTAGATTCTGTGCTTGAAGTGTTGGTAACTAATTCGCCTTAAAAATCTCTTATGGATACTCCTATATGTGTATGTGTGTGTGCGTGCGCGCGTAGACGCTTTATAAGTACAGGAGATTGTGGAACTATTATCCTTCCTTTCTCCTGTATCCAACCCCTAAGTTTAGTCCCCTTATCGAACTCGCATTTATTCTGGTCTGTTCTGGAGTAAGCAGCGGTAAGGAAGTAAGAACCAAGTCAGACTAGATACCAGAGTGGGGTCTTCAGATGCATTTTCTACACACACCTCTCCACCACCGTGCCCGCTGCAGGGTCCGCCTGAGTAAACGCCGGGCAAAGGCTGGGGTTCAGTCGGGTACCAATGCCCTGCTTGTGGTCAAGCACCGGGACATGAACGAGAAGGAATTAGAAGCCCAGGTAACAAACATCACTGGCTCAGGGCACCCGTAGAGAGTGGTGGTGGGTAGGGAGAGACGCAGAGGCCTGACAGAACACCCTCCTTCCCCTCAACCATGCTGCTTCCAGGAAGCACGGAAGGCCCAGCTGGAGAACCATGAACCTGAGGAGGAAGAGGAAGAAGAGATGGAGACAGAAGAGAAAGAAGCCGGGGGCTCAGGTAAAGCTGGACAGGCCGAACCCCAGGAGCCCTGGGAAGGGTGGGAAACTGGGAACTGGGTCTCACCTCTCTCTGCTCCTTTACAGATGAGGAGAGAGAGAAGGGCAGCAGCAGTGAGAAGGAAGGCAGTGAGGATGAGCGCTCAGGCAGTGAGAGCGAACGGGAAGAGGGTGACAGGGACGAGGCAAGTGACAAGAGTGGTAGCGGCGAGGACGAGAGCAGTGAGGATGAGGCCCGGGCCGCTCGGGACAAAGAGGAGATCTTTGGCAGCGATGCGGATTCAGAAGACGATGCGGATTCTGATGATGAGGACAGAGGCCAGGCCCGTGGCAGTGATAACGATTCGGACAGCGGCAGTGACGGGGGTGGCCAGCGGAGCCGGAGCCGCAGTGCCAGTCCCTTCCCCAGTGGCAGCGAGCACTCAGCCCAGGAGGATGGCAGTGAAGCAGCAGCTTCTGATTCCAGTGAAGCCGATAGTGACAGTGACTGAGTCCCAGGTCCTTCAGGGTTGGTGCAGACACGATTACAATGCGATTATTATGCGCAGGAAGGCACTTTTCTTCAGGTGGTCTATTTGCGAGCCCTTCGCTTTGTTCATTTCCCTCCTCTGCAAGCCTTGCTGTTAATAAAGCCAGTGTCTTTTCCCTTTACTCCCCCATCCAGCCCTATGGTCTCATTCGGCTTACACCTCGCCTTCCCCCCACCCCAGGAGCTCCAAGGCCTCAGGTCAAGGCCACTAGGTTTTCCATGAAATGTAGCATAACAAAGGTCAGAATCCTTTTTTTTTTGTTTTGTTTTTGTTTCT